ACAAACATTATAAGAAAACCCTAAAATGTTATCTGATACTAATGACTATAATCTAAACATGGATCAGTAACTTGTGCTAAAACATTTCAAATAAATAAAAACGCTATCAACTACACTGTTACATGTACCTAAAGCGAGTATCACATATTTGGTTAAAGTTTATTTTTTACATTATTCCGTTTCTTTTGTTTTCATCATATCTGTCAAGTGATATAATATTTTATTCCGTGCTATTGATTAAAAGACAAAATACCACAATACAGATGCGGTCGTATTAAAGAATCTTTGATCAGTTTATGATAAGGATTTTTGATTCCGATTTAGGTAAAATTCTATCTGCAGTATTACTCCTAACCAGAAGGTTCATTCTTCATTAAATTTACAAAACGTTGAAAACCGAGCTTCTCAAGCTATCCAAATGAAAAGTGACTAAGCAAACCAGATCTCATCCCTTTATATTTCATGTACCTAGGGGTGGTCATATTTCAACATTCCACATCTTAAGTAATGCATTGGATGCTAAAATGACTTGTCTCTTGGTTTCCTTTTCAGAGCAGTCCTCTGAAGCTATTTCTAAACGATTCGATAAACCACGATCGAACGAAATTCATTAAGTTAACGAATGATGTGAGTGGAGATCGTTTAAGGGTAGTGGGTGGATCCTTCTCAGGAATCCCATGATAAGACAAAACACCCAACCAGTGATTTCTGGTTATCATTGGATCTCTATATAAAGTCACTTAATGATGTAATCCCCAAACTTCGTATTTCAAATTACTTCACTAACCATTAGATCTCACAACAAAAAAAAAACAGTATTAGCTAAATCAGTGAACGCCTACAAGAAGAAAGTGGGTATCCTAAGAAGATCAATAGATGATACAGATCAAATAACCTACTATCCTTATTTTTAAAGAATGAATTCCTTTTTGTATAAATTAAACAGTCGAAGTATTAGACCTTTGTTAAATTTCTGAGGCAAATCATAATTAACGATAAATTTCAACAGTGAGTAGTTACTTCACTAGTGACATAAGTGACTCAACTAGTGATGGTTTTTCATTAGAACTTTGGAAGTTAATCATGAAGCTAGTTACTAGTTGAATATAATTATTACTAAGTTGTACTTTATAGAGACTCGTATAATATTTTATTCTGAAGTTTAAATTTCTTTATCACTGAAATGCAGTATACATTTGTACATGTCTGTAATGTGGTTTTTTTTAAAACCATCTATTTATTTAAGTAATGTCTATGTGACAGTTAAATATGTCAAATCCACAATTATAATGTATAAGAAAGAGATGCCTTTGTGCGGCCTATGTAACGTGCCCCACATGAGCAAGTAAATTTATAGATACACATTGATGTGGTCCAAAGTGGAAGTTTATCCTTAACACATTCAAGAATGGTGGGGCAGTTTAGCTGGACAGAACGCTATACTCAACAATTTTGAAATTTGTTCATTTAAGATTTCAGAACACTATCCGGTTTGACTTTTAAAAGGTGAATATAAGAAAGAATTCTATTTTCAAATTCATATACTGATTTTTGTTAAAATAACTTTTAGATTGTACTTCCATTGTATTAATTAATTGAATATGTATATTATTTATTTAAATTTTCAATGCATTTTTATTGTGTTAGTAAACTCAATGATTTTGCTTTATGGGAAAATTAATATGGTTTGCCAAATTCATTACCTAATCATCACTCAAATTAATTGTGATATAATTAAATGCACTCAAATAAGAATTAACTCTTGTTAGATCTTAATCATAAAACTTTTTTTGACAAGTTTGGACTTTTCACTTTAGTTAATGAATATGGATAAGGAAGATAGAAGTTTCATTTATCATCTATTAAATTTGGTATTGTGAATTACTAACTTAAAGGAAAATTGTACTACCTTATTACTAAATACAATTTACTTTTTATATAATGTAATTTCAAATAAACCATCCAGCTTAGAGAATAAAACTCCATTAAGATAAATCTAAGAAATAGATAATTAGGAAAAGACGATGGAAGTGGATAGGACATACATTAAAAAATCATCAAACTGCATCACGAGGCAAGTCCTAACTTGGAATCCTGAAAGGAAGCGGAAAAGAGGAAGGCCAAAGAACACACTACGTCGAGACATGAAAAGGATGAATAACAACTGGGAAAAGCAGGATAGGATTGCCCAGGACAAGGTTGGATAGAGAATGCTGGTGAGCGGCCTATGCTCCCTCACAAGGAGTAACAGGCGTAAGTAAGATGATAGAAACAAGTGAAGATACTGATTTTCAAGAATATATTTCTAACTTCCTAGGTGCTATCTGTAATTATTAGAATAGTTTACGTTTATAAAAGATTTATTGATTTCTCTAATCTTTTTAGTTATCTATAAATACCTTTCATTAAAGTTTTTCAGTATAGCAGACATTAAATATTACTAACCAAATATAATTAATTCTAACTGCAATATAAGTTACCATCCTTAATTAAGATTTTTTTAAAGCTATCAGTAATATCAAAATTCACTTGATATTGTTTTCCTTGTATCTTCCGATTGAGGTTTAAGACTGCAATTGATCAGTTTGTTATTGGCATATGTGCATACTGTGCGTATGCCTCGATATTGCCTTAATTCACAAACTTTTATAAGCAAAGATAGATAGTGGCTAGCAGTGAAATCCAGGACGCGCGTTTCGTCCTGTTTGGGACTGGTCAGCTGGATGTACCTGCATCTCAAAGTTAATGTCCACTTCGGGACTCGAACCCAGTACAATACCAAGTGAATTTAAATTCACCCCATTTCACAAGCAAGTGACTACCAGGACTCAGTAGCTGAGTGGATAACGCATTGGCGTCTGAAGCGGATGGTACTGGGTTCGAGTCCCAGAATGAACATAAACTCTGAAACGCAGGTACATCTAGCTGACCAGTCCCAAACAGAACGAAACGCGCGTCCTGGATTTCACTGCTAGCCACTATCCATCTTTGCTTATCAATAATATCAGTTTGTTTAAGGATAGAGTATACAAAACTTAACATGATACGATTAGCAAATTTTTTTTGTAAAATCAACTCGGATAAAGTAATGACGAAATAATAGAACTTTACACAGACATTAGTCCTAAATGTAAATGAAGTGTAGAATGTATAAGTAAATTATTGAGCATAAAACCATGGAAACCGATTATCAGAACATAAGTGTATTTATGTATATATTATCATTGATAAGCTATCCAATCGACAACCTTACATCAAAATGTAAATCAGTTATTAAATATACATCCGTATTCTAAATTCTAGATTACACACGAAGGCTAGAGATGTTGATGGTTGGGTAAATGCATAAACCTGTATCACGAAGCTTGATTTAATACTCATTTTTCCTGTTTTTGCTTTTTCAGTCCTTATTTTCTTTGTCTACCAAAAATGTCTAGAATTTAAACAGGTTTTTTAATATATTCCTATCGTAGAGAGAAACTTAGAAAGTTTGTGGGGTTTGAATAGGTGAGAAAATAAGAGCTGTTAGTCGTGAATAATAGCGCTCCAAGGATCATTTATGGAAATTCTAAAGTTTAATGTTTTAGATTTGTCTAACAGGGAATTAAATTAAACTAATATCGATCCTCATTTGAATAGAGTACTAATAGAACTGAAACACTAGTCAGACATCATTATTTTCATTTGGATATGACCAATAACCAATTACAAGATCATGTTCCCCATTGGAGTCCTATATTTTATGAAAGGCCTAATGATACTACTCATATTGAGGTGGAACTTGGAACCCAGTAAGCCACCGACCAATAGGATATCGATACAATTCTACCTTATTCAATGTTGTAAAAATAAACGTAGATCACAAAATACCTTGTTTTATAAACCCCGACTGCTACTGATAGTCCATAAATGTCAGTCAGTTATATTATTGATTCAATAGTGAAGTACACTAATTAATGATTATTACGGGTGGAATGAAACACTTTTTTAAACTAGCAAGATGAATATGCTGTAAATCTAGTGGCCTAATAGCCAGCTAAGCTTGTTCACTACAGTAATACACAAATACTTCCCTAGATATTTGATCAGATGTAGTTTTAGCTGTTATGGCTATACGCTAATATTCCTCACATTGAGATAAAAACATGTCGCTCCATGACCGTTGAGTTAGTTTTTTTCAATACACCCTTTACGTTTGTATTTCAGAATAACCCGGTTTTCCATATATGTAGTCTGAATACCAACTTCAGCTATAAAAATTCATCCATGTATCCTATACAAAAATAAATGAGTGCATTTGTCACCACACTGATGTCGTTAGTCGCCAAAACAGGTAATAATTTATTTCCGTGGTTATAGAATTTTCAAATTCTAAAGCGCAAACCTGTCTTAGATAGATCGACATTAAAAACCAAGAAACACTCGACAGCTATTTAATCCTAATATGGAACTCTGCAGCAGTGCAGATCTTGCATACAAGTGCCTACCCACTAAGTCACTGATAGAGCTGACCAGAAATGAATTATTTTTACATTAGCGCCTAACAATAAATTATCATCATTAATCCTGAGACGTTTCGGATAATTAATTGAGCATCTTTCCATTCAACTCAATCATTAAGCAGCAAAAACCAACAGGTATTTTTAGATTAATATACTGACTAAATCTCAGTAATAAAAATACCTACTAACTCTTTTAATAAATGCTCGTTTACACTACATACCAAAAGCTTCCCTTAGTAATGATTATCAATGATAACCAGAGTAACATCAGTAATAGATTTTCAAATCGATTTCAACAGTAAATAATTGTGACAATAAAATTTATGTGAAAAGAAAGCATTGCCTTATGTATGGATTACGACAAAAATATTGTCTTATAATTAATAATCAGGAAATGTATAAAAATACAAAATAATGACGTTATGAATATATATATATCTTGATAACTGGTATACTATGGTGAGTATAACAAAATGGATGAATGAGAACAAATGTAATGTGATTCTAGAGATACATTTAAATGTCATAAATAATTTCAATCACAACAGATAGGTAGAGTGGTTTTTAAATGTTTTTTTCTGGAACCAAATATCTGAATGAATAGTAAGTTAGAGGAAGTTTACAATATATAAACGATGAAAGGATAACCACTAGTTTGGATGAAAATCAACAAGGATACCATAAAGATAATCAACTCGGATGAATATATATATTTTGGTCGAGCACTAAAACACAATACGCTAAGAAAAATAATGTATTTCTCCAATCCTACCGGGTATTAAGACATTTTGTATCATTAAAAAAGGATATACGCACAATCTCAAAACACAAAAAGCACCAAACATAGATAATAGATGCAAAGTGTAGAAAACGTTGAACGAAGTAAAGGAAGTACAATGCAGCTAACAATGAATTAATAATTTCTAAAATCAAATGAACCATATATATATTGTCAAGCGTACTTCCTATCCCATACACGATCATAATTACTTGCTATTGTTTTTCTGTTACATTAATGAGTGGAGCTATCTCTTGGTTACCTAGTGAATTCAAATAACCATTCAGGTAATTAACATCACTTGGTAAAAATTTATGATAATCATTATTAACAGCACCATCACTGTTATTATTATTTTGAAAATCATCATTACAAGTTTCTTCCTTATTTAATTGATCTCCAGAGAAAGCGTTCTCTGAATAATGATTATTGTTTATACTATTTTTCAATGTATCATCATTACAGCTTTCAGAGTTTGTAGGATAATCTTTTACTTCAGCAACTCTCACTGTACCAGCTTCACGTTTGCGTTTTAATAATTTATATACACATAATAAAATAGTTATTATAAATATCAAAATCAATATAGGTAGTATTAGTGATAACCAAAACGTATTGACGTATGCAAACAGCAGCATAGTGATCGGTTGTTCAGAAGTTTTTTTCCGATAGCCAACAAATTCTAATAAACTTGTATTCTTTTCAAATTGATTTAAAACATCATTTAGCATTCGATATTCGTTTTTAATCTGGAACTTTGTATGTGGAAAGCTCATAGGAGGTGAAGATGAACAATTTCGTTCATCCGAACCGCTTATTGGACAATTCAACACTTTATCGCACCATAATCGTATGGGTAAACAGATACGATAAGGCCATTGCAAGGGAGAGTTGCGACGTTCATTTATTTTATCAAATGTATCACAAGCAAAAAAACCCGATGGACAGGTAAAAACACCCGGTGGTAAACGATCTAAATTATAATGGGAAATAACAGAAGTAACAGAATTGACACCAAAATAATTATAATTCAACTAATCGATAGTACGACCACAAGTACAACAATAAATATAGTAGGTATATAGTAATAATGTTATTTAATATGACTCATATTATCTTGTTATGAGGATCTTAAATTACATCTAATTTCAATTACGGTACGTTAACTAATTTCTGTGGACAGTATTTTAGGTACAGTGATTTGAAGGTCAAGATAACTAGATTTTATGATGAGAATCAAAAGTATTTCTTCATTTCACACAACCAGTCATCAATCAGTCTAAGCAACATAAAACCTGGCACAAATATGCATCGATCAACACCGCATTACAGAGATAAACAACACCGAGATGAAAAGCAAATAAGAAGAAATATCATCTTCAATGGGAAGCTAAGCACAAAATATTTAGTTCTAAAGAAAAGAATGATGTCATGTAACGAAAAGTATGAAAACATTATTAACTCATGATTTAGAGGAAGGTTAAAAATGAATAAAGCTACACTAGTGTGACTAGTTTTAAGCCAAGCCATTAAGCGGCTTAGATCGTAAATCACGATTATCCCACAGGCCCCACTTAAATGGGGTTTTTGTAATAACTGAAGTATCTCAGATAGATATCCAGTAACCATATGAAAAGATGCCATAACTTGATATGCCTGGTCTTAGCTCTTCACGAACGTCGATTGTATAGCTGACTCATATGAATATCAATCATGCATGGTCGCTTAACAAATCTTACACTGATATAATGGTTCAAACACCATATCACAGTGGGAGGAAATTTATACTAGCAAAGAATCATTCCCATCTCTAGTATGATTTGTTTCCATATCTATACTAAAGAAAAATGAGTCAAGTAAACTCGTTTTAGAGGGTGTAGCCATGACTATTCGGGAAAACCTGAAGATAATTAAAGTTTAGCTACCTATCAGTCGAACCTATTTCAAGACTTTCTGGCTCCAATTAATAAACATACCTCTTGGCCTGTAGTACGAATAGCACAGAAATTACTAACTTAAAATAAGACAGTAGGAAATGTTTATTTAAGGTAAAGAACAAGATGTTGGATAGATCCGACCAATTACATTTACAGGATTGCTGTTGGATGACAGAGTGCAATTTGATCAATCGGCTTTATAAAATGGCTAACAGTGATTAATGGAGACTAGGACCAAATCGTTCTGGATGCTCTTCTCTAAAAAAGCAGTGGGACAGTATACACACGAGTTTAAAGATCTGAATGACTGACTATGAAGCCACACAAAATGTTTGCTGTTTATAAAATAGCTGCAAAAGGATTAGCTCAAATAGAGCTTGAAAGCCAAACGATTTCTAACTTACAACCAGAGGTGACAATTATATGCATGCTGTTATTATGTATACCCGGATATTCACCAACATTGTTAACTGAAACTTTCAGACCAGTAGCAAGTGGGAACATGAAGAAATAGGGGTCACTGATTTCATCTTTGCAACTCCCACTAACCTTAAAAATAAATAGAAATGTAATTAGCATTTGCAGTGACTAAAATTAAATTAAAAAACCTTCACAATCCCATATGTTTGTAGTCCATATGCTTTGTCAACTAGTTTCCACTTACTATTTTTACAAAGGAATTTTATAATAATTGAGAGGGGGATAGCATCTCATGAGCTGTAAAACATTGTTTTTAATGCATGTGAAGATTTCCAAACACCCTATGTGCCTTCGATAATTACTCAAAATGTTGAATACAACAGAACTGTAAAAAATAGGCCGTATAACAATTTTGTGAACAAATTAAAGTTGGACGGTTATCTAGAAGACAAAGAATGGAAGTCAAAGGCATTAACGAAGCAAAGAAACATGAAAATGGAACTCATCTAAATTGATTTAATTTGCTATTTATGGAGAACGAAACAAGAAACGGTAGGATTGACAACGATCTATATTCTGTACTATTTTTGATGACGCCTAGAGCCCCCAAATTGAGTGATCCCTTGGGTCCGTCCGGCGAGCTATGATGGAAAAGTGAGTGCCAATTCAGCACAAGTTCCTTCTCTCACAGAGTTTATTTACTTAAACATATAAACATTAGTGCAAAGAGGCACCAAATAGATATGCGCGACATAAATCATTCGACTTATGAGAGGGCCAGAATGGTGCCCAGATGCCTGAACCGAAACAGAAATACGCGATAAATTATCTCTTCACCTATTGTACCTATTCCAAAAGTTGGAAAACAATACGCCGCATGAAGGTCATATCATCTCCCCTAACTTGAACACATTGCCAAGCCTTACCATTACTTATACAGCCTTCTAACAGAATGATAATGTTCTGGTATGACGATGTATTTGTTTGAGTCTTACTAGAATCAGAAAGCCACAACAAGAATATCACATAGATTTTAACATAATGATATAAAAGTCAATATCAACCGACCTGAACAGAATGGTAACATAACCACCCCGACTATAAAATTAAAAAAAGCCATAGCTAATCTAAAGTGAGGGAGAGTAGCAGGCTCTTATGGACTAACTAAAAAGATCTTTAAGGATGAATATTCAGTTTTAGTTGTTAAATTGATTGAGATATTAGATAGAGTCTGGGAACTTGGCTGAACCGTATCTAATCTGTCTTGATCACTAATCGTTTCAATCTACAAGAAGAGACGAAAATCCTCTTGTGATGTCTGCAGAGGAATCGGTTTGATTAACAAGTTTTAAAATATTAGCCACAATAATCATAGAACGCCTAACTAGGGCACGTGAAGGATTTTATTTATTTATTTATTTATTTGAACACATAAATATTGGTACAAGGGGGGCACCAAATATATATGCGCCACACAAAACAATGATAATATGAAGAGAAGGAGAAAAGAGAAAAAAAAAGTAATGAACGTGGGGAATTATAAAAAAAAAGGGAGAGAGACAGAACAATGGTGGGGGAAACGGAAAGGTACAGTCAGAAGAGATCTTTCAGTTAAGGAAGATACAACCACTTTTTATGAAGAAAGTAAAAGAAGGTTACAGCAGGATCGCCACTGGCTTTCATTCTGAGCCATATCTAATAACGTCTCTAGCCACTGCGTTACACCGTCTTTCGGACCCCAACCAGGGAGTCATGAAGGACCAACAGAAGCTAGCCCTTTGCAGCTTTCTTTCATACCACGAGACGATGTCATGCACTGACCACCTCTCCGCTTTTTCCAACCAGTCCCAGAGTCGGCAAATAATGCACGACGTGGAATTCTCTGGGACGACATTCGTAGAACATGTCCAAGCCACCGAAGTCGGTGTTTCAAGATGGTGACACCAATTTCATTATCGTCTCTGTGACCGAACACTCGATGCCGAACCTCTGCATTACTAACATGGTGTTGCCACTGGATGCCAGCAATCCTTCGGAGACAACGATGATCGAACACAGAGAGTCGTCTAACATCCTCAACTCGGAGAGGCCAGGTTTCACAAGCATAGAGCAAAACTGCTCTCACCGACGCGTTGTAGATCCGACCTTTTACAGCCAGACTAACATCACGAAGGCGCCAAAGATGGCCCAGATTGGCATAAGCCGCTCTGGCTTTCACTATACGTGCATTGATCTCATCACTCACACCACCACCAGCACTTATGCAGCTACCTAGATACACGAACTTCTCGACTACTTCTATCTGCTCACCATCCACAGTGAGTACAGGATTAGAATCCTGCCAGTCTTGTAAAAGAACTTTGCACTTCGAAGGTGCAAAGCACATACCATACCTACGGACACTGATTGCCAACTGATTAAGTGCGGATTGCATGGCTTGGGCATTCTCGCACAGTAAGACAATATCATCCGCATACTCAAGGTTTAGAAGTCTTTCTCCAGGCAACAGATCCACACCACCATTACTTACATCCGTCAGAGCTGTTTCCAGAATGTCATCGATGGCAAAGTTGAAGAGGAATGGTGAGATTGGGCAACCCTGCCTAACCCCACTGCTTGAATGGAATAGTGGAGAAAGGTGGTTGTATGCCCTCACTCTGCCTGAGGTGTTTGTGTATAGGGCTTTTAGGATGTTAATAAACTTCTCAGGCACACCCTTCTTCAATAGACAATCCCAGAGAACAGTTCTGTCCAACGAATCGAAGGCAGCCCTGATATCAAGAAACACTACGATTGTTGGCCTTTGATAAGTATGGCGGTGTTCTAACACTTGGCGGAGGGTGAAGATATGATCAATACATCCTCGACCAGAACGAAACCCAGCCTGCTCCTCGCGAGTCAATCTTTCTCGGGTTTTGAACAACCTACGAAGTATGACGGAAGCCAATAGCTTGGACGCAATCGGAAGTAGACTTATCCCCCGATAGTTGTTACAGGAACAACGTGAACCCTTTTAAAAGATAGGGACAACTATCGACTCATTCCATGACGTTGGTACACTCTCTACGTCAAGGATAAACACGGGAAAACTAGGCTAATTTCTGGCGTTTATCGAGGACAATTCTTCAGAGATAACACTCATAGTTTAACCAATCAGGAACCGACCTGCCAGGAGATTCTCTTGTTGATTTAAAATACCCGGCTGATATGGTTTCGTTTGGTGGAGACGCCAAAGAAATTCAGTCTTCTGATCTCCTTGGGCAACGATGATAGTTGGAATGCGTTTCTCTCCATCCAAACGCAAATTTCGCCTCAATACACGAATCCATCTATTTGAGCATATAAACATTGATACAAGGGGGGGGGCACCAAAAAATATATGCGTCACATAATTAAAATAAGGTGGCGAAGAGATAGAGAAAAAAGGTGAGTGTAATTAAAAGAGAACAAAAATGAACAGAAATTAGTGGATGGTGATAATAATAATAATAATAATAATAATAATAATAATAATAATAATAATAATAATAATAATAATAAAAGGAGGAACAGTCCTGTTAAAAAACACAACTATGAGACTGCATCTCCTTACGTTGCTCCATTGCCTTGTGGATCGAATTTTTAGGTCGAAGGTTCCGGGTGTGGCTCCTTAAGAAAACCACTCGCCTTGATCTGGGCACCCGGGCAGTATCACAGCCCACACAAAAATCAAGTGACTTATGTGGTGCATATGTATTCGATGCCCCTTTGTACCAATATTTATGTGTTCAAATAAATAATTAATCGTGATTCTAATAAGTTATACACAAGAGCCAGTAGTAGGGAGCGTAGTAGTTGAATACATTGATAACTTCACTTATATTGGAAGCGTTATCAGCCTTGGTGGGTTAATGTCCAACGAAATATCAATAAATACTCAGAATCCTTGGTTGGTGTTTGCCAATTTGCGTCCGTTAGTGTAGACAAGATATCCATTTTCCAACTAAAGGACGAATATGGCGTGCAGAAATCCATTCTTGTCCACTTTGCGGCTGCAAAACGTGACCTTTAAAAATAGATATTAGTAGATTACTAGTATTCGATCAAAGGTGTTTTAAAAGTATTGATAGTATATTTTGGGATCACCGGGTTAGGAATTTTGAGGTCAGATGCAAAGTACTACATAAGTATGGCAAGTCGATAGAGAAGGTGGTTAATCTTAATCAATTGAGGTGGTTGGGACATGGATTATGTATACTCGTTCACCGACTACCTCGATGGCCGACAATGACTTGTGTATAACCATATTGGGAGTGTGCTAGGGGTGTCCAAATCAAGACATGACATCGATCTATTTGCTCTGACAATTTTATCTCGTTATGTTGATGGGGTATAGCAACTTGAACTAATGTACACATATGCTAGGTTATACGTTAAGTATGATCGAATGACTGAAGAGAATGAGAACAACCATTCAGACAATTATGACTAAATAAAGCAGATCGTTGAACAGCTCGTGGTCGTAGTGTCCAGGTTTCCTAAATGCAGAACCGGCACCAGCGGTGTCATACTAAGACTTTATGATCAAACTAAAATTGCGACGATCCTGAAGATGACTTGGATTTGTATAGACTCATTTGGTTTTCGCGATATGTAAATTGACTTCATTTCTCACACCGCCATCAACATCAACACAAGTAACTAACAAAATACACTAGCTTCTCGACTTTTGTGATGACTAGATAACAAAAGTAAGGTTAGGTACAGATCCAAATCAACCTTTTAGTAGTGATTTACATTTCGGTGGTATAAAATACACACCACAATTAAAAATTTAGTCGACAACTGATCAGAAGCTATTTGACTGACCGTACAATCGTACAGTTTGATCTTTTGTGAAGACTTGAGTGTAGACTCCTGAGAAGTTCAAAACTAGTACAGAATAACTAATGCTTTGAGATTAACAATGGTCCTCTAGCTGACTGACTTTACTCCAACCAAGTCCGAAAAAACTTCAGTTATAGCTCTGAACGTTCGTACAAAAACCAACATTCTTGCAGAAGTAGGATAATAATAAGAAATATCAAAACTAACCGAAGTCAGTCAGTCAGCTAAAACGTAGGACCAGACACATATATGTATCGGTCAGTCAGTCAGCTGCAACGTAGGACCAGGCACGTATATGCATCGGTCAAAGTTGCCATACCGCATTAGCACAAGATGAACACTGGATTCATAGAAGTAGTTAATTCAGTGGTGGTAATATATAGAAGAAAGATTGTGTATAAGGAGATAGTAAAGGAAGAAAGAATTAGTTCCTAGACAGATATGAAGCGATTTTAATCTCTTAATTTAAGGAAGACAGAGAGTGTATACACCGACGCCATTGTGATCGATTCTGAGCCATGTCACCAAGAGTCTCCAACCATTGGTTACGATAGTCACGCGGACCCCAACCAGGCAGTCTGAATCTCCCAACATGGCTCAGACCAGAAGTTAGTGACTTCAAGCACTGATGCCACATTTTGGTTTGGCCGCCCCTAACTTTCTTCCAATTATCCCCTGCACTAGTCAGCATTGCGCGTCGTGGTAATCGGTGTTCAGGCATACGCAACACGTGGCCCAACCATCTCAGTCGATGAAGATTCATAACCTCATCAACTGATTTACCATCATTCCCTAATACCCTGCGTCTAACCTCACTATTACTTACCCGGTGATCCCAGCAGATACCCGCAATATTTCTAAGGCACCTGTGGTCAAATACTAGTAACTTACGAATATCATCTACTCTTAAAGGCCAAGTTTCGCAGCCGTATAGTAGAACGGAACGAACTGCCGCGCAGTACACTCATCCCTTAACTGATATAAAAGATTGTGCATAAGGATATAATAGGTAGCTTAAACGAAACAGAAAGACATTTAGGTGGGTATTTTAGTATTCCGGCACAGAGAACAGATAATGGTGATCGTCTGCTGCAACTGTGCTCAGACAATCGTTTATTTTTAGCAAACACAAATTTTAAGCATAAGGAGAGACATCGTCTAACATGGCGACCCCCTGCACCAAACCAACAATGGACTCAAATAGACCATATTGCCATCAGTCATCGTTGGAGAGGGTCGATAGAAGATGTATCGGTCAAAGCTGTTATATCTCATTAGCACAACAACAACACCAAATTCATAGTAGTTACTTCAATGGTAGTAATATATAAAAGATTGTGCATAAGGATATAATAAAGGAACAAAGAACCGGTTCGTAGAAAGAAAGGTATAAAGTAATTTTAATCTCACGGTTTAAGGGAAGACAGAGAGTGTATACACTTACACCAGTGTGGTCGATTCTCAGCTATGTCACCCACAGTCTCCAACCATTGGTTACGATAGTCACGCAGACCACAAGCAAGTAGTCTGCATCTACCAACATGGTTCAGATTAGAATTTAGTGATTTCAATGACTGATGTCACCTTTTGGTTTCGCCGCCCCTAAATTTCTTCAAGCCGTTTCCAACACTAGTCAGCATTGTGCGTCGTGGTAAATGGTGTTCAGGCATACGTAACACGTGACCCAACCATCTCAGTTGATGAAGATTTACAACATCATCAACTGGTTTGCCATCATTCCCTAATACCCCGCGTCTAACCTCACTATTACTCGGTGATCCCAGCATATACGAGCAATATTTCTAAGATATTTTTAATCAAATACTAGTAGATTACGAGTATCTTCTACTCTTAAAGGCCAAGTTTCGCAGCCGTAAAGTAGAACAGAACGAACTGCTGCACAGTACACTCGCCCCTTAATTGATAGACGGATATCTCGCCTTCACCATAGGTGGTGATGTAAGTTGGCAAAAGCCAAATGAGCTTTCTGAATCAGTGCAGAGATTTTGTCAGACACCAACCCATTAGAGCTGATCAGACTTCCGAGATAGGTGAAGTTGTCGACGCGTACGACTACTTTAATCCCTATCCTTAGTTCAGGTGTTGATGCAGGCCAGTTCTGAAGCAACAACTTGCATTTAGAGGGGGGAGAAGTGCATCCTAAACATTCTGGCATTGTTGCTTAGTGCTATCAAAAGATTGTATTTTTCAGCGTCTTCACTAAACAGGACTATGCCATCTATGCATTCTAAGTCAATAGGCGGACCTCCTGGAAAGAGATCAATGCCGAAGATTCAATCGACGTTGTTTTCATCAGTATGTTTATGATGAAGTTGGACAAAATTGGAGATAGTGAACAGCCTTGCCGGAAACCACATGAGGTTGCAAAATCAGATGACAGTTCGACATAAGCTCTGACTCGACTAGTGGTGTTCGAGTAAATAGCCTTCACAAGGTTTATGTATTTCTGAGGTACACCCTTAAATGACCTCAGAAGTACATAAACCTTGTGAAGGCTAACCGAAAATCAGAACTAATTCCGGAAAAAGAAATGTATTTATTTTGACAAGTAGACAATTTTCTAATCTTGTTATGAAATAACGGACATGTGAAGTGATGGGTTAGTAGTTAAGACACTAGTCCTTCCACAAGCCTGAAGTACGAACCTAGCTCCACTTACCGCAACGTAAGGCAACGGATAGTACCATTAACCAACAAAGTGACTTGAAGTTAAATAAACAAACATGTACTCGGCAAAGAAACTATAGGAAAACGATAAACAATAGGATAATGGTTCTATTAACTTACTTCACCTAAGTCAGTGTGACAGGTCGTACTATTGTGTCCACTATTAGGAATCGCACATACATATACTTCAGGACAGGTGGGTTCTGACGAGAAATAGAGGCGATGTGTTGCGAAAATAAGGATGGATCTGTCGTTCCAAACGGAAAGATCAGGTAGGAAGTTTAGGTTTGTGTAATCTATTATTGAAACATTTGTGGAATTATTATACGGGAGTAGCTCATAAGGAAATTGAAGATCAATAGGTGAATTTACATTGAGGATACTGTCAGTAGTATCTAAAACATCATGCATAGGCGTCAAGAAATTGTAAATACATGAAAGATGTGATATCGTAGGAGAAATAATGATTTCTAGTGATAAATGCCTTTCCGATGTTGATGGACAAGAATTTCGTACGACGAGTGTATCTACGAAGTAAAAACCAAATATATTGAGTGCAGAAAAATACACCGAGATCAAATTGTTTTGAGAATATTGGTCGGAAATTTAACACAAACCAGTTAGTCGCAGAGTATAACAAAATAGAGATAGAAAAAAATATTACTGGCTACCGGACCACCTAAGCGGTACTTGAATACTATTTCTGCATCTAACTTTCTGCTGAGATAGCAGACGACCAAAAATATGTAGCGGTCAATAAATCCCTAAAATAAATAGTTCTGTAAGTCTTCGACATTTGATGATGACCTGATTAGCTTATTGACCGCTGCAAAGAAAACATGAGTCACGAGACAGTATGGTTTCGGGGACTAGTACATTACAAACTAGCTGTAAAACCTCTAAATGTTTTACAATACAATTTAAACACCAAGCCATAAACTTCACATGGCAATCGTAGAGTACAGAAACAAATAATCATACGCTAAGCCCTGTTGGAACTGTACAATACCACACCATTGCCTTCAAACCTCCAATTTAGCTCTGCATCATAAACAAATGTGGAGCTAATTACCTGAAGACTATTTTGTGAAGATTATTGTACAAACAATTTCGAACATAATTAAAGCAACGAGCTGTGCACGAAAAACGAGTTGAATATGTGGAACACAGGCCTTAACATAGGAAGCACTTGATGTCGAACACTGCCTTTCCTTTAACTTTCAGTGTTTGGCGCCAACATATGTTTCTATCAGTAAAATACTTGACGTGCATAATACTAGTAGGAAGGACCATCCGAAAAAGACCCTCTTATGAGTATAAGATGTAAAAAAAGTACATGAGACAAGTTATTCCTTTATTACAGAAAAAAAAATATATATATATATATTCAAACGGATGACACAAGAGCTTAGTTGCATTAAACACGAGACTAAATGCACATAAAGCAGGGTTGAACAGCACGTGTATCGTGATGGAAATCGCATGAAAAAAATACAGTTCACAAGAGACCAGATATTGAGAATATAACTAACCTGAGACATCTTTGGAAGTCTCTTCAACAAATGAATCTGTGGACAGTGACGCGAGTATAAATATTATTACAGAAAATAAAAATATTTCCATTTTTGATACATCTGTATCAAAATCTTCAATATCGCATCGGCGCCGATTCCTCCTAGGAGCTTGCCTTCGTGGATAATAAACCCGTCTTTGTGAACGAGATACCATAAAACTTGTTCTTTTTAGTAAACAAACAAGTGACTATTGCACTGTGGAAAAACCAACAACTCGAAACCTTAAAAATAATACACTAGTCAAGTACATCGTACCACAGTTAAAAGAAAAGCCGCCGACTTATTCTTAGCTTTAAACTGATTCAGTGGATCAGCAAACCGTAATCGACAGTAATGATAATGATCGACTGGTTATAAGTGTTGTTGCTCGAGGATTTTCTTTTTTCATTTTAGATGCAGATTCGCCATGAAATCGTTTGCCTGTGCACGATATGCGAGGCGCTTTATTTAAAAATGTCAGTGTCTTACATTTTATTGTGCCCTAAGGTATAAGGTATGAATTTATACCTATTTGGATTGGACTTTCAGTTAAAGCAACAGAGAAGTTGATCCGGCAAGTTTGCTTATTCTCACCCTTTCTCTTTCTCTTGGTGATCAACTGGATTGTAGGGCCAGTGAAATTCCACTGAGCCCTAGCCATTGAATATCGAACAAAATCATCAATCCTCGTCAACGTCAAGGACAACCAACGCGCATCAGTTAATGGTACGCCATGGGCTGGCTCATGCGGCAGTGGTCTTACCTTCGCTTGTATCTACTTTATTTAATATATTTCTGTAATAACGTCCTCTGTGTTGTACAGTCTTCAAAGCATCTATAGTACTGTAGTGTCTGTCATTATGTTAAGCCCAAATACCTTATTATTCTAACTTTCGGACAGCTCATTCTATTCATTCTATTTGAGTCACATTCTGACCTTGTTAATTATTCGCTTATCAATGTCTTGACTGTCTTTGTATGAGCGCGTAGGCGTATGCACACTTCTTATCCCGTTACTCATCACATGTCTGTAATTTATTTTTGTGGGCTTATAAATATTGATTAACTCTTTGTTAAAGGGAGAGTTGGCTTACCAGCCATCTCCACCGCTCGTCAATTTTGCTTCGCTTTCTCATCTTCGCATCGTTCCTCCGTTTGTTCGTCTAATCAACAATTATACGAAATATATGCATTCAAAACTCCATTCTCGTTATTTGACTTATTTAATTCCGTTATTAACTAACGCGATTTAAGTCAATGATTATATACGAGGATAGACGATAGCAACCAATCATTACGATCAAATTGGAGTCAGATCACGGGCCACTAAAATGGTGATCCCGCCACCACAAGCAAACACAACGGGCTACTAAAATGGTAAGCCCGCCGACGACGAACTTAACGCAACCCAGCGACAACGGCCACCCACGAAAGTGGTGAGCTGACAACGACGAACGCAACGCAGCAAGCTACGTCAATCAAGAAACTTCTGCACATGATACTTTCGACGAACAAATTCAGCGAAGCGAGCACAATCTCTAATCCGACGCACTCAGCAAGGCCTGTGCAGCACGACATGGACATGCACAAATCGTATTATCTTATCGATACTCTGTCCTCATGTCAACTATTCTCACTGATCCATTTGTCGGAATGTTCCATTATGATTCAAATTATCATCATATGCTTATTATAACATTATCATATTATGAACGAATGTGGAATTATTATTTTTGTTCGTGCTGACATTAAATTATGACATTTACGCAGTCATATCACTCACCGAACAAATTATCATTTTATGAACACTCCACTTCACGTTATGACATTCGAAACTCACTGGACTATATTTTTATTATTCAACAACGTAAAATCACCTACTTTAAGTGAGTTCGTTCCAATTTTTTCCATGTCATTTATGGTCTATTATCACATTCATTCACTTAGTCGAGGTCATATTTTATGTTATCATAACATACATTTTTCATTTCGAAATCACTTCTTATTATGTCTGTGAATGCTTTTAACTACTAACTGATTGGTAAAAATTACATTCATCTTATCTATTCGTCCACGTGTATAACCACATGCTGCATCATTCATTACCCCAAAGCATTATTCGAGTACTGAAAATATTATTCTATTCCCATCGCATTGTATACCAGAACATAGAGTTTAGAGCTGGTCACTCAAAGATACACTCTTGTTCGTCTCATCCAAGTCAGTTTCGTACGCCGCCATCGCTAATCGTATTTATTAGTATTTTTATCATGCCTTAAATACGGTTTTGTAACAAACGAGGTCGAGCGCATCTCCCTCAAACAACACAAAGCAGTCGAGGCTTCACGACCAAAAAGGAATACGACTCTACATACCTCGTCTACTCAGTCATTATTCTGTTCCTCTGGTCATTCTACTGATACATATTTAACGATAACTCGATGCATTTATCATAACGCAAACGACAACGTAGGCTGACCTCGCATTTAATGATTATTATCAATTGCAGTACAGCAACGAATATCACCCGTCGATGCAGTTATCATTTCACATGACTATTATTATCCTACGAATGGGAACTCTACATACTTAAATTTGAATCCACTCGACGCTACATACTCTACTGCGGCTCATTAGAACATTTTCATATTTCACTATTCTGTCAGCATCACAGTCCAATTTCTATCATATTCTAATCTACTTATTTTCACAATTTATTTCACCATCATACCCACAATCGCATGCTAATGTTTCCATATTGTCCGCGCCTTTACGATATTTATGTATTCTTTTACATAACTATGACACTTTCATATAAAACACTCACCCCTCATGTGACACTGTGCTTTATCGGGTGTTGTACAATTTTTTTCACTACTTAATGTTAACGTTAGCCACACATCACTTCAGTGTTATTTTCGAAAACAGACATTTTTTAAATGTGCTATTTTCTACAAGGGGGCTATGTAGTGTCTGTCATTATGTTAAGCCCAAATACCTTATTATTCTAACTTTCGGACAGCTCATTCTATTCATTCTATTTGAGTCACATTCTGACCTTGTTAATTATTCGCTTATCAATGTCTTGACTGTCTTTGTATGAGCGCGTAGGCGTATGCACACTTCTTATCCCGTTACTCATCACATGTCTGTAATTTATTTTTGTGGGCTTATAAATATTGATTAACTCTTTGTTAAAGGAGAGTTGGCTTACCAGCCATCTCCACCGCTCGTCAATTTTGCTTCGCTTTCTCATCTTCGCATCGTTCCTCCGTTTGTTTGTCTAATCAACAATTATACGAAATATATGCATTCAAAACTCCATTCTCGTTATTTGACTTATTTAATTCCGTTATTAACTAACGCGATTTAAGTCAATGATTATATACGAGGATAGACGATAGCAACCAATCATTACGATCAAATTGGAGTCAGATCACGGGCCACAAAAATGGTGATCCCGCCACTACAAGCGAACACAACAGGCTACTAAAGTACCTTGATATGTCAATGGGGTAATCTATGTAAGGTGCAGACCGCGAAGTGTGACTTCGACGTTAGCTAGTTTATCACACCACTCACGTCTAACTCGAGTAAGCCTCCAATCATTTCGACATAGATCATCCACGCTGGTGATCTACAGGATCATGAAGCACGGGATACAGTGGACATCTAAGATTCAGCTGGATGATCTAGACTTCGCAGATGATCTGGCTCTTCTATCACAAACTCAACAACAAATGCAAGAGAAGACGACAAGTGTAACAGCAACCTCAGAAGCAGTAGGTCTCAACAGACATAGGGAAAAGCATTATTCTCCGATACAACACAACATGCACCAATCAAATCACAATTGGCGGAGAAGATTTGGAAGACGTTAAAACCTTTACATATTTGGGCAGTGCCATCGATGAACACGGTGGATCTGATGCAGATGTGAAGGCGCGGATCGGCAAAGCAAGAGCAGCATACTCACAACTGAAGAACATCTACAACTCAAAACAACTGTCAACCAATATGAAAGTCAGAAATTTCAATACAAATGTCAAGACAGTTCTACTGTATGTTGAGGAAACTTGGAGGACTACGAATGCCATCATCCAGAAGATACAAGTGTTTATTAACAGTTGTCTACGCAAAATACTTCGGATCCGTTGGTCAGACACTATCAGCATCAACCTATTGTGGGAAAGAACAAACCACATTTCAGTAGAGGAAGATATCAGGAAGAAGCACTGGAAGTGGATAAGAAACACCGAAATGCGTCACAGGGCAAGCCCTCACATGGAATCCTGAAGGCCAAAGAAGAAGAAGAACAAAGAACACATAACGCCAAGAAATGGTGATAGGCATGAGAAAAATGAACGAGAACTGGATGAAACTAGAGAAGAAGGCCGAGGACAGAGTGGATTGGAGAATGCTGGTCGGTGGCCTATGCTCCATTAGAAGTAACAGGCGTAAGTAAGTGATTATTCACTGCTAAAATGTGATGAGGTTTTCTTGTACACGAAGTCACCTTGACTACACCAGCTGTCGAAACAATGGCACACGACACATTGGCATGTTAACGGGAGCGTTCTCAGCTAAAATGTAAACGGCAAAACATTGAAGTGGTTGTACTTTACAGTACAGAATGTGTATTGAATTTTTTTCTCCTAAATACACTTAAATCCTGGTTACAGGTTTGTAAAGGCCATATGATAGGTGATTTTAGTGCATCTTATATAAAGTTGGGAAACCTAGAAGTAGAATCCTCAAAAACATCGTCTGATTGAAAATCGTTAGAAGGAACAATAGCCCTAGCTATATTCCAGTGCACTAGATACCCCACCAGTTATAACCCACAAAACTGTCTTAGACTTGGTCTTCACACACAGTGATAATATCTGTCAAATAAAGTTTCTCTCAACTACAGGTAGAAGTTATCGTATAGTAATATCATCCAAGTTCATGGCTGATATGGTTTGCCAAGCAGTTGAGCCGGCCGGTCCTAATGTATGGGAGGCAGATATGACAATTGGGAAACTAACGGCGGCTCATTTGTGAGAGAAACATGGACTCATTTCCCACAGTTCTGCATTCAAGTAAGTCATCCATTTTTACCCTGGTCAGCCCCAAAAAGGTAAAGCACTCCCGTACCTGGATAAACTGGGATATTCGACGTTAACTAAGCCAAAAAAATGTTGAAACGTCACCATCAGCTTTGGAACATCAGATACGATGGAGCGTTGCATTTCAGTACGAAATAAGGGTATATGTACAATGCGGGCAGCTCAGAGAAAACATGAAAAGCGGTTGGCTCAATCTGTAATCAAACAGCCAAAAAGAGTTCCCTCAGAGATAAATTACAGAATAATAACTTATCATTTGATTTACAACTTAATTACGGGAGGGAGTGGACCTCAAATGATAGGGAGCTGCTCTCACGCTAGAGCTTTTTCTAGACGAAACCACAATACCAGCTTCTCACTGTGGACTTGGATCAAGACGAAATAGTAAATGCTCTTAATGCTTAAAACATGGAAAAATCAATAGAACCGCATGAATTACACAGTAAAATCCTTAGGTTAGTTACAGTGCAGCGGTAAACAAATCCTCGAAATAAATAACTCTGTAAGTCTTCGACATTGGATGCTGACCACATTAGTTTTAATGGACTCACCCAGCTAAAGGCGCTCGGTCATACATCCACACCAGATCACGAGTGGGAACGCCGTGCTCAACAA